TAACGGTTACCAACAAAAGCGTGACGAAGGACACGTCATTCAATTAACTGTATTCCATAGCTCTGTCCTACATTTTACCTTTTTATTGTTAGGTAAGAACTTTGTTATCAGAAGATAATTTGATAGATAAATGTTTGATTGGCGGGAGACTCAGTTTATTCTTGAAGCGATTGAGCAGCATTGTTAAATGGACCGCCAATTAAGTTCAATTAAATTCGTTCTCTAAGTACAATGAGCTATTAGCGTAGGTCAAAGCTCCATCTCTTCCGGACATCACTTCTTTATGCGCCATGTCAGAGAGTGATGGACCAGATTATAAAAAGTGTTAAGGTAAGAATGCCAGTTCCCCGGTGTTACAATCATTTTATGAGCAGCTTTGGTAATCATCTGCTTTCCATTGAAGTGAAACCACCGTTTGCGAGGATGAATTCCAGCGAGAATTTGACATATTAGGCCGATAAATATTTTAGTCCAGCGATCGTATCTGATTATTTTGGACTTAGTTATTGTCGTTCGCACGATAAGCAGCCTTCATATTCGCTTATTGCCACTGCAGTTTAGTGTTTTCTACCTATTTTGGGTTAATCGTTTAGGATATGTCGGACCCATATATTAAGAATGTAGATTTACTGTCGACCAAAAGGATGATAGCCATGATCAGAGCAGGAAAGATGTTTACTGCGACATTTAATGCATCCCGAGTGCAAGGCTGGGGGCCAGAAACTCTGCAAAGTGGCTTACCGCAGAAACGGCCATTTGTGACGATACAGAGCAAAGCTTGCAGTCGGCGGAAACGAACTCGAGGCATTCATAATGCGTATAGTATTCGCATACTGTCAAAGATAACAGGAGGGGAAAAACAGCGCAAAGATGAAGATGAGTTTACAATCACATGTAACTAAAGAAAAGAAAATGAATGACTATGTAAAGCCGCGCAGTGAAAAACTTCGATGTTATGTCACTTCTACGAAAGAAATCTCAGTAAGAGAAGAAATATGCACAGGTTAGTATTCTAGACAAAGCGGAAAAATGTATTAATCATTCTTAATTCTTTGGCATCGGCATTCCCAATCAAATTTCAGACCAGGAAGACCCTAACTTTGAACCCGAGACTAATTGGAGCCATACTACGCTTA